GAAATATTTTTAAGTAATAATCATTACCAAGAACCAAATAACCCAGTTCTTCAGCATTTTTTAGAACACAATAATGGTCCATTATTAAGTAATATTAATGTTTTTAAACAATTTAAAAAGATTAATAATACTAATTACATTTTATCCATCCATTTATATTGTATTGCTGATTCATATTTTTTAAGTACAACGAATAAAGTTGTACAGATTAACAATATAATTGTAACTACAAATGGTGCAACAAAATTAATTGGGAAACAATATATGTCATATGAATCACTTTACTTATATCCATTTGATTCTAAACAATTAAACATTGTTCGTGTAAAGAATTTATGTGAACAATTAGAGGTATGGGATATTGATCATATAAAAGCAAAATGTATTCTTCTACCTCTCAATGATGAAAATTGGGTATGTTTTCCTCTTCTTCATATGTAACATTAAGAAGCAATGTTTGTAGTACACATGTTTAATTATTGATAATCTCGTAATTATTTTATTTTTGCGCAATAAACGTAATTGTAATGTTTTTATATTTTATTTCTTTAAGTATATATCTTATTATTGTTTGATAGAACTCTTCAATTTAATTTAAAATTTTAATTATAATAAATACATGTGTTTCAGAACGAATTATTTTATGTTTACAATAATGTTTGATATTCATATTACGTTCCAAAGAATTGTTACGTTAATTTTAACATTGTTAAAATATTTAGTTTTCTGTGTAATAAATAAAAATAAATATATTCATATGATACCTTTCAGTTCTTACTTACAATTGCAACTGACTCGTAGAATCAATATTGTTTATTTAGATAATATTAAGATAAATATTTAACTTATAAATATTTAACACTTTAAAATACGATTTTTCTTTTCGCTTAGTTCATCGCTGTAAAACTTAATTATATTTAAAACATAAGCCAGAAAATATATACTAAAAATGCTTCCAAAAAATATGGTAAAATAAAACGATATATAAAAAATAATAAATTAAATAAATATCTAATGTTATTTAGACTGATGTTTTAGACATCATTCTGATATTTGGTTTATTGACCTTTACTGACCGTCAGCTTTATTGACGTACTTAAGGCTCGATTGCACTAACTTATTTGGTTTTAAGCGAAATTTAACAATTTTAAATTTGTTATACTAAGTAGAAACGTCATCCAAAATATTATAATTTGCATAAATCGCAATAAGATAAGCGCATATTATAGTATTTTCAGTGACGTTTTTACTTTTGTATAACGAATTTAAAATTTTTTATTTCTCGCTTATACCCAAAATAACGTTAGTGCAACCGAATCTTAGTACGTCAGTAAAATACCAAATAGAAGAATGCTGTCTAAAACAGTCTAAATAACATATTATTGACGTCGTTAATATGTCATTCTGGAGTAAATTATTCACGTCATTATACGTTTAAAAGTAACGTTTAATTGACGTTACCAAATGACGTCTTTGGTCTGTGACTTAGGACCGTCAAAAAGACGGCATTTGTAGGTTAATTTAAAGAATAAATGACGTAACATCTGATGTAAGAATGATGTGATTATGACGAGTGTCTGCTACCTGGGTTTCAATCAGGGAGGGGCGTGGTACTTAGGCATGGGGCCCCAAGAGAGCCCTGGGCCCGGGGAGTCGGGGAAGGAATGCAGGCGTAGTTCCCCTGACTCCTCCTACCACAGTCCGAGCAGTAGGCACCCCGCAGGGGTTTTAATCGGTAGAAGTCCGATATAACCCCCGCCCTCCCCAAGGGGCCGGGGTATCCATGAGGATTTCCCCTGCGTGACGAAAAAAAGAAGAGCCCTCGTACGTGCCTGCGTTCCTCCCAGCTGAGATGATGGAACGTCGAACGCTCGCGATAATCGCACTCCCGGCTTCCGAAAGCCGCGTCTCTCTTTTCTTTTACGATTTAATTAAGAAGATCGAGAAATTGGTTGAAATCACGAATATACTTGATTGCAACAATTGTAATGAGAAAGAACCAGAAAGAAGGAAGGAGATATACGAGAATATGAGAGACGGTCACGAGATGATGGAACTTGAAAGTTCTCTAAGTACAATAGTTAAGGAAAGGCTTGTGAGCACGCGTCCGAAACGTGTGACGGCCTCAACGAGAGTGAAGAAGCGGGCGGCTCGCCAACGGCCCGAGGAGTCTTTCTTCTTTGTGTCGGAGCAAGACGCGAGTTACTCGATACCCGGATACAACAACGATAAGTACCCCGCCAAAGTGTCGCCTAAACAGTTCAGTTATCTTAGAATGAAAACGTTTACAATTTTATAGTCAACCGCGGGTGGACAATAATGCGGCAATCGCAAATTTAGATACGACGCGACACAATGACAGGCCAAGGAAGCGTTCCTGGCGAATTCGGCATAATAAGTTTAATAATTCTAATGCAGAGCGGCAACCGGAGTAGTACAATTTTATAGTGATAGGTTTTTACTTCTTTACACTACATTTCTAACGCTTTGATTTAATAACCGGATTTAAAACGTAAGGTTTAGCGAGATGTCGGATGAAAGAAACAAGGTGGAGAATTCCGACGTGATATGCTTTGTCTTCCATCCAAGATCCCTGAGAGCGAAGCTGGGCCGTGCTGCTGACGCAAAACAGTTATGAGATTCGTAGAATCACAATGCTTATACTGCGGAGTTATAAAGATAACGATTAGAAAAGTTGTTAATGGTTATAACACAACTTTCCCATACTTCGTGCTTATTGTTAAGAAACAAGAGATGGGGAAGCTGCATTGTCCGTCCGCTATGATAAAAATAATTTGGAATAATAATAAGAAATATTAGCCAAGCCCTACCTCGCGCAACCAGGCTGTTATTCTTGAGACTACGTAAGCAATGATAAAGCATACGCGCGCTGTAGAAAACGATGTGTCAAATTAACACGCCTGTGTCGGCGTGTGTTAATTGTATAACATTGTATATTACATATACAAATTTTTAATATAACATTAATAAATGCAGGAAATCTTCAGTATATCTTTAAATACGAGAATAGTCCCAGAAGTACCTGACGTATAAATAGCGGTTGTTTGAAAAGAATGACTATGATAGAAAGTACCAACCTTATAAAGCTTAAGTTTGAAGTTTGACGACGCTACGTTGTTTAGTATTTGTTTGTCAACCATCAATAGTGAACGCTCTCAGTGAATTTGTAAACATGGAAAAAATTGGCCATCGTTATGTGATACAATACTTTCATTTGGAAGGCCTCAGTCCAACCAATATCAAAGCGGAGCTAGATTCTACTCTGGGGGAGTCTGCTCCTTCATTTATTGACTGAAAATTTAGACATATGAAAGCTGTGTGCAAGATGGGTGCCGCGATTGGAACAAAAACAGCGTAGTGAGGATGTTTCAATCGAGTGTTGGGCGAAGTTTCGCTGTAATAAAGCCGAGTTTTTGCGTCGATTCATAACCATGGATGAAACATGGGTCCATCATTTCACACCTGAGACGAAAGAACAGTCAAAACAATGGACCAAGGTGGCTTGATGGCTATTTTGAGGAGCTCGACGATTCCCACTATAAACAGGGTATCGAAGCTATTGCACATCGCTGGGAAAAGTGTATTGAGCTAAAAGGAGATATGTAGAGAAATAAAGATATTTTTTCCCAAATTTTTTGTACTTTCTTTGTTAGGTCAGGTACTTCTGGAACTACCCTCGTATATTCAAAAGAATATACGAAAAATGTTTTTCCGAGTCAAAATATTTGGTCCCATGTCAAGTCTATATGTTCCAGAAAAGTTCTTTATGTCTCAACATGGAGAAAATAACTTCCAATTAATAGCATTAAAGAAATACAATTCTGCAATATACAGGCTTCATGTAGAATCAAAAGTTTCAATTTGGGATATTTCAAATAAAATTAACTTAGTCCATTTATAAAATTGAAACAACAAAAAACGATTACTGCAGAAACATCTTTTTCTGTTGCTTATAATTATTTTGCTATTAGTAAAGTAAAAAGTATATTAACAGAATACCTTTTACGAAATAGAAAATATATAATTTAATTTGGCAATCTATTTTTTTGCATATTAAATAATTTTTACATATTAATAACCAAGTTTTTTTAAGGAAAATGCGTATATATTGACCAAGAGTGGATTTCTATTCTTTATTTTTTATGTTCTTTCTATTTTTCATTTCTTTATTTTTTTATATATTTTATATGTAAAAAGCTTCCTATTTAATACGACAATTAATTAGGTAGGAAGAGAACGCACGCGCAAGGAAGGACTGGCGAAATACATTAAAGACGCCTAGGCATTATTTTCACAGCTGGCGCGTTAGCTATAGCTAATAGATCGTGAGAGAAAAAGAGCAGCGTCGTCTGCACTCTTCCACCGCTCGAGCTTAGCCGAAGCGCCGAGTGTTATAGTTCGTGACGGGTAGGCGCACGTATACGGTAGTTCGCTTGTGTGCGCGCTGCTGCACGCACTATAGCTATGCTGGTTGGGACCTGAAACTGACATCATTGGAATGACGTCGTATTTAATATATTTTTTGTTATTATGTTTTAACATTTTCTTACCTGATTTTCCTACGTGACCGAGCGGTTCGTCGCCCGCGGCTATCTCGCATTCTCTCGCTATCTCGTTGTTGCGCGCTAATTTCTGTTACCCAGGAAGAACAAAAAATCATAATAATATCATTATGATATAAAAAAATAGTCATTTTGAGATAAATCAGAATGATCCCACACAGCACAAGTGATTGTTTGACGACTAATAGCCGACTTTTTTTAGCCAACTTTAAGTCGACTGTCTAAAGTCGACGTTTAGCTGACTATTTCTAGAATGGCTTTTTGTCGACTTTAATTACCAGCTGTAAGTCGACTTAGGGTCAAGTATTTTCTGGAAATAAAATATTGCCTTTGAACAGAACAAGAAGTTGACTAAAAGATCTCTTTTGAAAATATATAAAATCTGTTATTTTCCGGTGTTAGCAGTACCGATCCCTGCAGTGTTTTGATATTGGAGAGGCTGCACGCATATGCGTGATGAATCTCTATTCGAAAGAGAGAGAAAGAGAATTTGGAAAAGAAAGACAGAAAAGCTCTTTGTCGCTTTCTTTCGAATAAAGATCGTCACGCATGCGCGTGCAACCTTTCCAATATCAACTGGATGTCTATATATGTCGTGCCTTACTTACGTGTTTTATCGCATCATTTTTCAAAGGTAATTTTTCTTTTTCTTTCCTATTATATTATATTATATTTCTTATGTAATATTGTATTAAATAAGATTTAAGATTGTTTGATAGATATTTTTAATAGTTTTTTACATGTGTTAAATAATTGTCACAAAAAACCATGTCATAGACTTTGAGGTTGTATTTTTAGATAGTTGCACAAAAAATGTAAAAACAATTAATTCTCAATTCCAGCATTTTAAAACATACACATTCATTTCGGTTTATCATCAATTTAGCAAACGGATAAAACAGGATATTTGTTTTTCTAATGTAGTTAACCTCAAAATTGCGCATTTTTCTATTGTGATATTATGATATTTCTTTTCTATTTTAATGTGAATGCTTTATATTTTATGCATGTAAACTATTGTTATTTTTATTGTAATTCTTGTTTTTTTACGGTGATATACAAAAGATATGCAGAAGAAGAGAACTGTGTACAGAACAAAGTTGCTCAGTTAAGATTTGTTCCTGGAGTTCCTTTATCCACTTGCAGAACACAGAGCAAAGTAAGTATAAAAATCAATCAGATATTTGTATTCCCAGTAAACAATTTGTGCGCAAACTGACATCAGATTGGTGACAGGAAATTGATGCAGGACCTGTCGATAGATCCATAGACATCTATATCCTCAGGATGCTGTTGCCTTTCTCTTCACAGTTTGCTAACAATTCTACGCAAAATCTGCTTTTGCAGGTTTGGCTATTTGAGTTCTACCCTGCTTTCAAAAGTAATTTCAAAAGTCTGACTAGCATGAATAATTCCATATCTGTATCAAACATGCTATATGTATTTTACTCATAGCGAAAGAATGTAACAAAATAAAAGACAGAAATAACACCCAGAAAGCAAGGTGATGTCAAATGATGTTTTAAGGACATTTATTTTAACCAATAGAACATCACGGTGCTACCTGAATCATATGAATGTTTCATACAGATACGAAATATGTTTGATGCAGATATGAAATTATTTGCACTAGTCAGACTTTTAAAATTACATTACATCTGAGTGTTTACAATCATATTTTTGGGCTGATTGAAAAATGTATATAGAAATATTAGTATAATATTTTTAATCACTTCAGAAATATAATGATAAACATTTAAATATAATGATTTTAAAGTCTGATTAACGCTTTATATATATATATATATATATATACACTCAAACGCAAAAAACCCGGTACACTAAAAATTTGGGAAAAAATTACAAAATTTCAAATGATCATAACTTGGTAAATAATGAAGATACAAATATGCGCAGAAATGCAAAATGAAGCTTGAAACGTCCTCTTTAAGAATATCTGATTGGCAATTATGCTCGGCCATTTTTTTCAAAATGGCGGATGATAAAATGAGAGGATGCAAAATTGATAATCAAAGGTCCGTGTTTGCGATGGTGCATGGTATCGTATGTGTAATGGGACCAAATGCACATGAAAGTATAGAGTGTTATCTTTAAAATGCTACTTTACCGAGCTCGATGTGATCATTTTTCACTGAGTTGTTCCAAATTTTGCTAAAAATGCGGTTTTCTTGTTAAATTTACATAATTCAGTGAATAAGTATCGCATCAAGCTCTATAACGAAGTATTTTAAAGAAAACATTCTATACTTTTAGGTACTTTTCGTCCCATTGAGCTGCGACACTTACTTTGCTCCATGCGCCGTCGCACGCTCGAACCTTTTTTTAGCAACTTTTCATGTTCTCCTCTTTATCACCCACCATTTTGAAAAAATATCGTTGCGCACAATTTCGATAGATCTTTCGAAAAGTACGGTTTCAAAGTTTTCAAACCGTTTGAAATTTGCTGCTAGGATATTTAAGTGTCGAGATATTCAATTTCGAATTTGCAACAAATGTCGATTCAGCGAGGCTTAAGGGGCTAAGAGGCTCTGCGGTTCGTTTGGCTCTTTCATAATTTCAATAGCCGCGTTCATTATTCTCTATACAATAATTTACACAATTTTGCGAATTGGAAATTTAATTTTTATCAAAAGTTATCATTCTTTACCCTTCAGTTACGCATGATCACTGTGGTATACACTTTAGTTCGCGAAGCTGTCCCTAGCTCTCTACCTTCTCCGTACGATTGGCCATTATGGTACACAGCTTGAATATGCTGTTCAGGATCGCGCCTGAGTTCGCGGTGACCCGGCGCGCGGGATGCCGAGTCGCTGGACGCCACCTGAACGTCGAAATTCCCTGGCGCTCCTAGTCCACGGAGCCGCCGCAACGCGGCGATCTGGGTTGTCGCGCGCGCGAGCCCCTCGGCTCGCACACGAGTTCGAGCTGCCCAGGGCATATAAGAGTGCCCGCGGAGACGATCAGAGATTGCCTTCGTACAGCTTTTGGCCTTCGTACGGTCCACCGCCGATAGTGGCACTATCTCTTGTACGCTGGACTTCGCGAGTTTGTCAGTACGCCGGGCTTACGTTCTGGCTTGACTGAGATTCTGTCGGTGTGCCGGGCTTTAACGCCTGGCTTGACTGGATTTTTCTTAAATGTATATGCCAAGACAATAAACAACGACAAACAATTTTCCTTTTCCGAACGTGTTCACTCCGATAAGCGCTGCCTCGTGCGACTTTTCTTTTTCCGTGATCTTTTCCTTTCGAGGCGCGTTGCTTCGTGCAACTTCATCAATTTAAACCATAATTGATTGTTTCGCATCGAAATTATTGCGTCGATTATGGCGACGATAAATCCTGAAAAGGCTGCTCAAGTTATTGCTTTAATTGAAGATGGCAGAAGTCGAAGGTACGTTGCTCAGGCACTTGATTTGTCAGTGTCAACTGTGCAACGTGCTTATGCCAGGTACTTACAAACCAATTCTTTCCATAGAAGGCCTGGTTCGGGACGTCCTCGATGTACCAATCACAATGATGACCGATTTATTGTTTCAAATTCATTAAGAGACAGACATCGAACATCTGTTCAAATTAGAAACAATTTAAGGGATGTCCGCAACATTAATGTATCCGTTAACACCGCTCGGAGAAGATTAAAGGAATAAAATCTGCTTTCGCGCAGGCCAGCAGCTGTACCTTTGCTTAAATGTCACCATCGCATAGCTCGACTCAATTTTGCAGTTGAGCATAGAGACTGGACTTACGCAGACTGGAGCAAAGTACTCTTTAACGATGAATCTCGTTTTTGTGTCTATTCTCCAGATGGACGAGAACGAGTTTATCGTCGCGGTGTAAAACGATTTGCAGACTGTACGGTAAGTGAGAGGCATAGCTACAATGGAGGCTCTGTAATGATTTGGGCAGGAATTCCAGCTAATGCTCATACAGATCTGCACTTTTTGACAAGAATATGAACGCAGATATATACGTAGAAGACATACTCATTCCGTATGTTGTTCCGTACGCACCCTTTATCGGAGAGAACTTCTTGTTTATGCAAGACAATGCTCGACCACACACTGCGAGAACAGTGCTTGATTTCTTCGATGAAGTTGGCATAAATCGACTCGATTGGCCAGCAAATAGTCCAGATTTAAATCCAATCGAACACTTATAGGACAACCTCGGCAGGAAAGTACGAAATCACGTACCTGCTCCTCAGTCACTGCGAGAACTGCGAATAATTCTCGAAAACGAATGGAATACAATTACGCAGGATGAAATTAAAAGACTAATAAGGAGTATGTCTGATCGTATGAATGAGGTAATACGCGCATGAGGCAGTCATACCCACTATTAGTACACACACACCACACACACAGCAGAGAGGATTTGGAATCATTAATTACTGCAGGAGTGACGAACTGCGGGGTCCTTATCTCTGCTGTAACACCACACACACACACACACACACACACACACCACAAGGAGGGTGTGAAATCTTGAAATACTGTGGAGCTGACGAACCACGGGGTCCTTATCCTTGTGGTATACAAACACACACACACACACACACACACAACATACAATGGGACTTTTCCTACCAGTAAAACTCCATGCGGTTTATATTGGGAAGACTTACAACCATAATTTGAGCTAATGACAGCGGTATCTTAAAACGCAATTCATCTTTATTACGTAATATCGATTATGCAAAATGAAGAACCTAAATTGAATTTTACTTTCATTTCCCTGGCTTTCAAAATAATAAATGCAAATCATTGAATATATTGTGCAGGTTATGTAAATTATTATATAGAGAAACATGAACACAGCTATTGAAATTATGAAAGAGCCAAACGAACCGCAGAGCCTCTTAGCCCCTTAAGCCTCGCAGAATCGACATTTGTTGCAAATTCGAAATTGAATGTCTCGACACCTAAATATCCTAGCAGCAAATTTCAAAAACGGTTTGAAAGCTTTGAAACCGTACTTTTCGAAAGATCTATCGAAATTGTGCGCAACGATATTTTTTCAAAATGGCGGGTGATAAAAAGGAGAACATGAAAAGTTGCTAAAAAAAGGTTCGAGCGTGCGACGGCGCATGGAGCAAAGTAAGTGTCGCAGCTCAATGGGACGAAAAGTACCTAAAAGTATAGAACGTTTTCTTTAAAATACTTCGTTATAGAGCCTGATGCGATACTTATTCACTGAATTATGTAAATTTAACAAGAAAACCGCATTTTTAGCAAAATTTGGAACAACTCAGTGAAAAATGATCACATCGAGCTCGGTAAAGTAGCATTTTAAAGATAACACTCTATACTTTCATGTGCATTTGGTCCCATTACGCTGCGATACCTGATGCATACCATGCACCATCGCAAACACGGACCTTTGATTATCAATTTTGCATCCTCTCATTTTATCATCCGCCATTTTGAAAAAAATGTCCGAGCATAATTGCCAATCAGATATTCTTAAAGAGGACGTTTCAAGCTTCATTTTGCATTTCTGCGCATATTTGTATCTTCATTATTTACCAAGTTATGATCATTTGAAATTTTGTAATTTTTTCCCAAATTTTTAGTGTACCGGGTTTTTTGCGTTTGAGTGTATATATATATATATAGGACATTCTATATCTATATTTCACTATTAATGCATTGAAGACGTCTACATATATGTATATATACAGGGTGTTTGATAGCTGATCATGCAGACGAAAGTTGGAGATAGATTGGGTATAGTCGAGAAGAAAAGTCATGTACCACAATGTCAAATTGCCAATAGTTATCGAGTTATTAATTAAAACATATGAGCCAATGAGCGCGTAGAGAGCGGAGGGCGACCGCAGTAAGCACATAGACATTTGATACAGGCGGAGCCAGCGAGTGGCGGTAGGCGAGCGCGCGCGACGAGAGGCAACGTAAACAACAAGAGGCGAACGCGCGCGACGAGGAGCGAGCGAGCGCGAACGACGAGGAGCGAGCGAGCTACAAGGAAAAAGCTATAAAGAAAAAGCTCGCTCGCTCCTCGTCGCGCGCGATCGCCTCTTATCGCTTACGTTGCCCCTCGCCGCGCGCGCTTGTCTACCGCCACTCACTGACTCCGCCTGTATCAAATGTCTACGTGCTTACTGCGACCGCCCTCCGCTCTCTACGCGCTCATTGGCTCACATGTTTTAATTAATAACTCGGTAACTATTGCCAATTTGACATTATGGTAGATGACTTTTCTTCTCGGCTACACCCAATCTATCTCCAACTTTCATCTGCATGATCAGCTATCAAACACCCTGTATATATATATATTTATTTATTTATACTTACATGTTTATATTAAGGGTACTAAAAAATTACTTGCTTTTTTATAACTCTAATTACTTTAACTATTCGATTTATTTTTATTATTTCAACATAATATCGTGGATATTAACTTTGTTTACACATGTTTTATTATCTTGTATTTATTATCAGTTGTTATTAATAAATACCATAATTTATGCACTGATAACTGCACTAGCTCTCACATATTATTTTTCCTTTAGTTTCACTAAGTATAAAAATGAAATATAAATATTTCAAATCATAAATTACATATTAAATTGAACAGTACAATAAAGTATATTGAGGTTTTAACAGTTAAACTCGTTTTTATATTTATACTAAACACATAACATTCTAATTTTTCTTACTAATTAAGATACATATATTACTTTAGCAGTAATATATGTATCTTTATTAGTAAAAAGATATGTTTATTAATATCTTGTGTTCCGATTGAAAAGGATTTGTTATAATATATTTATTGTTATGAAACTTATAAACAATTTTTTTAAAATTGAATTTAAAAATTGAATTAGAAAGGTATGCCATATCGTAGTGTCTTGTGTAATATGGCGTTTAATGGTTAAATTGTTATCTATATATCTTTTTACATGCACGCACACATACTTTTGAAGAAAAATGACTATCATGAGTGCCATAATTTTGCATATATTCCTGTGTGTGTATGTGTGTGTGTGTGTGCGTACGTGCGTGCGTGCGTGCGTGCGTGCGTGCGTGCGTATGTGTGTGGATGCGTGAATGAAAGTGTGAATAAAGACTGAAAGGAATGAAACACAACAAATCTCAAGTACTTATCATTATGTAATATTGCTTCAGAATGGAGGTCAATTTTGAATATTTGAGTCGTTGTAACTAAAAAACGTTTGATTATTTAGTCCGATAACCATTAAGACTTTTTATCAGTTAATCAAAACTTACATCATATTAAAATTTAAGCCAATTTGATCCCATTTCCATAACATTTCGTGACTCGCAAAGATAGAATGGCAAACTATTTGTTGTCAACAATTTTCTTTCCATAATGACAGGTGTTTCTTTTTCGTTGTAACAAATATGTTCAGTAACAACAATCGTTTTATCTTTCAGATAACAATTAACAGATTTCAAATAACAGTTGTTTGGTTTCTTGTCTGTCAATGTAAATAACCATAATGTGTCCTTTAAATATCTTATTAATGTTATCATATTATGCTTTAATTCACAGATGCTGAAAAGTTTTCGCGGCAAAAAAATCAACGTCTTGAAGCTTATGAAAGATACGAGCGTAAAACAACTGTAGATAAATCTACAGTCAAACATGTAGATAAATCTACAGTTAATATAGAAGTCGCTAGCTTAGAATCGCTAGCTGGTATAAATGTACCTATAACACACTGTACTTTATCTGATGACTCTAATTCAGGCAATACTTTGAATGTGTTTTCTGCCGATGTTGCAAGACCTAATATTCATGTTACTCTGGAAGAGGAAGATAAAGAAAATATTGAAGAAAATACCAATAAAACTGCAAAACTTTCCAATTGGTTACGTTCTTGGACACTAAAATATAACATTAGTCACACTGCTTTGTCAGAATTATTAAGTAAATTGCGTACATATGGTCACACCGATATGCCAAAAAGTGCAAGAACGCTTTTAAATACACCAAGAAATAGTATTATAAAGGTATCGGCAGAGAAGCGAAACTTTTTTCATTACGGTTTGAAAGAGGCAATAACTGAACAACTGATACGCACCAAGTTCATCGTGATAAATGAAGTTATTATGATAGACTTAAATATTGATGGATTGCCAATATCCAAGAGCAGTAAAAGTCAAATTTGGCCAATATTGGGCAAAATTCACGGTGATAAGATATTTAAACCATTTGTAATTAGTGCTTATCATGGGTACTCAAAACCACCTTCTGTAGATGCTTTTTTAACACCTTTTTGTCAAGAATATGATTTTCTCAGAAATGAAGGACTCATTTTAAATGGAAAAAGATACACTGTACAAATTAGAAGTATAATTTGCGATAGTCCTGCAAGAGCATTCGTAACTTGCACGAAATCACACAATGGATATTTTGGATGCGGAAAATGTATGCAAGAAGGCATCTATTTAAATCATCACATGTTATTTTTGGAATCTACAACGCCTCTTCGAACTGATGACAATTGTAAGACTAGAGTACAAGAAGATCATCATACTGGTATATCTCCTTTTGAGTCAGTACAGCTGCCAATGGTTTCATGTTTTCCTTTGGATTATATGCACTTAGTATGTCTAGGAGTCATGAAGAAACTATTGCTATTGTGGCTAAGTGGATATCAGACATCCAGATTAAGTGGACACAAATTAACAGAGTTGTCGGAAATATTAATTGCAATGAGGAAATGGATACCGAACGAGTTTGCTCGAAAACCACGTTCTTTAGATGAATTGACTCATTGGAAAGCAACAGAACTGCGAGTATTTTTATTATATCTGGGACCAGTCGTGCTGCTAAATATTTTGCCAGAAGATAATTTACTACACTTCAATGCATTACATTGTTCAATGCGGATATTATGTCATCCAGTGGATTGCTTTCGTAACAATCGATATAGCAGAGATCTACTAATTCAATTTGTAGAAATATTTAAACACTTGTATGGCAATGATACTATAATTTATAATGTACACAATTTAATTCACATAAATGAAGACGTACTGATGTTTGGACCATTGGATGATTTTTCTGCTTTTCCTTTCGAAAACTACATGCAATCAATAAAAAAAATGCTTAGAAAAGCAGATAAACCACTACAACAGTTATATAAAAGAATTTCAGAAAATTATAATGAAGTTATACAAAATGATTGTAACAAATATAGTATACCTATATTGAAAAAGAAATGTTTAAAAGTTCTACCAATGAATTGTACCAATGCTTATCGTATGATTCAATTCAGCGACTTTATATTGACAGACAAGAAACCAAATAACTGTTGTTATCTGAAAGATAAAACAATTGTTGCTATTGAACATATTTGTTACAACGAAAAAGAAACAGCTGTCATTATCGGAAGAAAATTGTTGACAAAAAATAATTTCCCATTCTATCCTTGCGAGTCACGAAATATGGACATATATGTAGTTCAAAATTTATCAGACTTGATGATGTGGCCAATTACAGAAATCATGAATAAAGCCGTTCAACTTCCATTTAAAAACAGAACTTCATGGTGTTGCATGCCGTTATTACATTCGTCGTTAAAATAAAAATACTGCTCAGCTGTTAATATTATGTTACATATAAATGCTAATTTTATATTAAATAAATTGATAACTCAATAACATTCCCTTATATGTTATAAAAAGTAAGTAGAAAGTAGGCATCTTATCCTAAGTTACCTTATATATGTGTGTAAGTATATATATATAATGTTTCAGAATGACATTTTACGTACTGCTGTATGATACATACTGCATAACAGTACCAACAACATGGGCAGATTTTGAACAATGTACATTTCAAATGCCGAAGAAAAGCAAACAGCTTACTCAAGCCTGTATGAAAAAATGGTCACCATGTGCTGATTGGGATGAATTCACATATCACAAAAGTTTTGGTCCTTATAGTTCGTTTCATATTTTTATATCTTACATAAAAATCTGAAAAAAAATTAATATTTAAAAACATATTACAGGAACGTACCAAAATGCACGGTTGGTAGAAAAAGCAATAAGCGACATGTCTGCGTCAGACGACAATATTATATTACAGACACGAACAGAAAATGCTTTGAAAAAGAGGCTTATTAAAAAACGAAAGTTTTATGGCGACACATCGAGTAGCGAAGGTATTTATAGGACACATGTGTATAATAAATGCGATATATAAAAATGATAATACAAAAGTTAACAATTATGGATATTTCTAGATGAACCAAAAAAGAGCAAAATTACAATGCCCTCAAATTACATTCCATCAATAGAAAGCGGATATGTATCCAATTCATTAAGTGAACCGATTAATAAATTGCCGACAATCACCAATCATCAATCAGGTTTATCATTAATCTTTGTACATAATACAACACATAGTGTCCGGTAACTCACTAAACAGTCGCCGTATATAAGTAGATAAGGTCAAAATGAATCAAAAATCCTCTTATTATTTTACGAACAACCATGTAATATTTTGAGTTATTAATCAAAGAAGATTCGTTAACGATAACGATAACGATTCGTTAATGATAACGCGCAATACAGTAAATAAAGTATGATAATAACGTCTGTTACTATGTGCTTATATATTAGACAAAGCTGAAAAAGAAAATCCTAATTTTGCAAATAATCATGTAGATTTTTAGTTATTAATAAAAAAAAATTGGTACATGACTGTGCATAATAATGCATCAATCTTCTTTAATTAATAACTAAAAATGTACATGATTATTTGTAAAATGATAGAAGACTTTGTTTACTTATTTTGATCTAATACAAGCACACAGTGGCAGATATTGTTACTACAGTTCATCTACTCTATGCCGCGTGATCAATAATATGAACTTTTTTATAAATAACCTAAAATTTTACTTTTTATTTTTATTTTATTTTATTTTTACTACTAATTCCCAAAATGGTAGAGGAATTTTTTTGAGTTTGACCTAATCTACCTTTACGTGGCGTCTGCTTAACAAAATACCAGACACCCTGTATGAATGCAAAGTGTTTATTATGTTAAGAAATTTATAAAATCTTATAAAATATTTGCAGAACATTTCCAAGTAAACACCTTGAAATGATATCAATTATATTTTAATTATATGACTGTGTATTGGGTGAGTGCAAAAGTTCGTGCGGAGTTTGTGAGTAAAAGTCACACAGTGATTAGGCAAACAAAAATCTTTATTCAATCAATGATATATTCTCCATCGTTTTCTATAATCTTTTCCCAACGTTCTGGCAGCATACGGATGCCTCGATCATAAAGACTGCGCGGTTTAGATTCGAAGAACGAAGAGACGCCGTTTTTTAAGGCCTCCAAAGAGTCAAAGTTTTTTCCATTTAAATAATTTTGCAATGACCGGAACAAGTGATAGTCAGATGGTGCGATATCAGGAGAATACGGTGGATGCGTTAAGACATCCCATTTCAGGCTCTTCAGTTTGCGCAGCATCTTTTTCGAAACGTGTGGTCTGGCGTTGTCGTGATGAAAGACGACTCCCTTGCGATTTGACAAAATCGGACGTTTCTCTTTTATTTCTCGATTCAGATTGGTTAATTGGCGACAGTACTTGTCCGAATCAATCGTTTCGTAAGCTCGAAATAGATTATGCCCTTGCAATCCCACCAAACAGAGAGCATCACCTTCATCGGGTGCAAACTGGCCTTTGGCATTGCGTCACCATGCTCACCTGATTGTTTCCATGTCCGTTTGCGCTGAACATTGTTGTAGAGGACCCATTTCTTATCGCCCGTCACTAGTCGATCCAAAAACGACTCGTTATTGAGCCGCCCGAGTAAAGAAACGGCTGCAGAAATTCGCTTGATTTTGATTGAATATATATATGTATTTATGTGTTTGTGTAGCATGCGAGTCCACTACATTAAATAATAAGCCTTCAAATACTTTCGACCAAATCTTCGACAGTTGCTTAGATGTATCAATACAAGATAAACTATCGGATTCATCGGATTTTTATGACAAAGATTCTTATCATAAAGAGCAATATTGCAATACAGGTATTATACTAATTGCTATTTTATATTGATCAGGGAAGTTGTATATAAAAATTAATGTTAAATATAAAGACCTTACATATTTTTTTCATATCTTTCAGAAATGCAAAATACAATGACACACGATAATCATGAGCAAAAAAAAAAACTTCAAAAGGTATGTTTTAATATGTTATTACGTTATAAATTTAATAATGAATGAGAATGTCCATAAATAACTTTATATCGTTCATACTGGTTTACAGAAGTGCCGCAAGCAGTTAAAAATGTGAATAAAAAAAAAGAGGAAGCAAGTTTTTCAGCAATATTATAAGGTATTCTTGAACTTTATTTTTCTTTCATTAATTTCATATTCATAATACAATGATTGACTAATGACAATATAAACAATATATTTGCAAAATTGCACAGAAGATTTAACAGCTCGGTTAACAATATTTTTAGATACGAGAAATTACCCTTCTACAAGCACTTCAATTCGTGAAATACACGACATGCGTGGACTAAATTCACCTGGAAATAATATAAACAATAAAGAAAATTTAGAAAAGCAATCGATAGATTCAGAGCACACATCTTGTTGTGGTAAATTTTATTTTATTTATATCACTAGTAAATATAATGCAGAACAAAAAATTATTATGAATTATTATAATAGTTTAATTCAATAATGTTAATCACTTGATTCTTTTATCTCTGTTGTTTAGAAAAATGTCGGCGAGGATATTATTCAAAATTTATGACACTTGAACGTAAATTCAACCGGATTATTCATTTTCTGGAAAATTCAAAAGAAGTACAACATAATGTACAACGACAAATTGATTTATCTTTATTACCGAATTTTCTTCTCAGTACGGTGTAAGAAGTAGAAAATTCAATAACCTTTTGAAGGATGATAACGTTCGGCGACAATTTGTACGTATATTAGTTGCGTATATTATTTGCTAATTATTAACACAAATATGCATTTTAATTGCTGTACATGAAATGAAACCTTTTGAATATATATCATATGATTTGAAATATATTTATTACAGATTGAGAAAATATCACAAATAGGCGGAGAAACTGTAGCCAAAAATGTAAGACATATAATGTCGCAAACTATTGGCTACGAAGTTGCGTAGCTATATACGTGGACAGGAAAAAAAAGTTATCTTTAAAAAAATCGAAACTTTCGGAGTCAATAATTGGTATTAAATGTTACTCAATATTTGCAGACAGCACTAATGTCCAAAAACGGAACATAAGACGTCTTTAATATGTCTAAAAGACGTTTTAAAGACGTCTTATGTTCCACTTTCGGACATTGTGCTGTCTGCAATTTTTTGCCTTTATTGTTCTTTGTCGTAGAAATATATTAATGGCTCCTGCCCACAGGACGCGGCAACACTTACCACGCGGCGGAAATTCGTGCGATAGCCAAACAATATGCTACTTTCCGTAATAACTTTCTAGCTCTTACGGAAAAGCGGCACGTTCATTGGTTATCGCACGAACTTCCGCTGCGCGATAAGCGTTGCCACGTCCTGTGGGTAGGAGCTACTAGAACAGGATGTTTACTACCTGGAAAAATGTAGGAAGCTGATTTTCTAAAATTTTCTTTTGAAAATTCAGTCTACCCTGGTTGCACCAGAGAGTGCTAGGACTGTTGCTCTTAAGTGACAGAGTCCGCTCGAGTGGTATTTTTTAAAAATATGTCAATGAATGCTCGAACTGTTTCCTCTTTTGTAAATAAAAAATGAAATACCTGAAAAATCTGTAAATTTTTATGAGGTTTGTTTTATAAAATTTTAATAAGCATCTTATAAAATTTTCTTTCTCACTCAAGAAATTTCAAATATATCTCTGTTTCATTTCAAATGTAACGATTGCTAGTTTAGCTACAAAGAACAAACCTAATGTATATAATACTGAATGTATTATAGGAGAAAGATTAATTTTTTTACAATATATTCAGATCGTTTTGGGAACTATGAGTATGTTTACACGGCAACTTAAAGCTGGTTAGTAACAATCGTAGTTTGCAAATTTTCTATCTAATTGGTATATTCTTTTAGATCTAAAAATATTTTCCAATTAAATGCAAGAATTCATTAACTACGGTTGTTACTAAACCGGCTTTAGTATTCTATGTTTCCTGTTATTAATTTTGATGTAGATGAGCAATTTCATGTCATAAAATGTTTATATATAGACTATGTTATTATCTTTGTAGCTATTATTTTAAAGATGCATAATACAACAATCAACGAAGTAGAAATATGTATACAAGAATGGTTGCGACGGTCTGGTGATAGGATGAGAGCTATATTAAAAAAATAAATATACTATTCTTTGTAAATTTTTATTAATTATTAGTTATTAGTTATTAATTATTATAGTTTTATTAATTATTATATATCCCTTATAATTATCATTTAAATTAAATATAATATTTTGAAAGACAATCAATTTAATCTTATTATTCTTTAATTGCATTATATATAACAATATTATGCAATTAAGGTGTAATAAAATTAAATTGATGAAGTCTTGAGAAATATCACAACTAAAATAAAAATTTAGTAGTAATATAGATGACGTCAAATTGACTAAAAGTCGACTTATAATCGCCATAACA